GTGTGATGAAATTTAAGGGATCATGGGATAAGTACGTGTTGTTAGCAGAATTCACGTATAATAATAATTATCAATCGAGTATTAGGATGGCCCCGTATGAAGCTCTGTATGGGAGAAAATGCCGAACACCTTTAAATTAGTTTGAACTAAAGGATCGAGATCTAGTCGGGCTAGATTTGATGAAAGATATGGATGATAAAGTGAAAATTATCCAAAGCAATTTAAAGATAGCCTCAGATCGCCATAAGTCATATGCAGATTTGAAAAGGAAATAAATAGAATATCAAGTGGGAGACAAAGTATTTTTGAAAGTATCACCTTGGAATAAGGTATTACTTTTTGGGCGTAAAGGAAAGATGAGTCTGAGATTTATTAGACCGTATGAGATATTAAAAAGGGTTGGACCTGTGTCTTATCAATTAGCTTTCCTCCGGATATGGACAAGATCCACAATGTTTTCCATGTATCGATGCTTAGGAGGTATAGATCAGATCCCTCGTATGTTATCACTCCTGAAGAGATAGAAATCCGACCAGATTTGACTTATGAGGAAGAACCAGTACGGATCTTGGCTAAGGAAACCAAAGAATTGCGTAGCAAAAGGATTCCGTTGGTCAAAGTGCTTTGGCAGAATCATAAGGTAGAAGAGGCTACCTGGGGGAGAGAGGAGGATATGAAAAAATAATTTCCAAATCTTTTTGCTTCAGGTACTTCTTTAAAAATTCGAGGATGAATTTTATTAAGGGGAGAATTGTAATGCCCCTAAATATCAATTTAGGGACTATATTGAAATGTTTCAAAAATAGGAGGATTTATTTGATTAAATCATATAGGATGATAATGATTAGGATTATTAGTTTAGACTAAATTGTGATAATGGATTATTAAGAGGGCAATATAGTCTTTTAAATGAAAGAGAAATTAAAGTGTATTTTTATATTGGTATTTAAAATAGGGGAAAAGAGAATTAGGTTGCAAAAAGTTCTCTTTCTTCTTTTTCCTCTTTCCCCCGTAGAAGAGTTCTCCCATAGCTAAAGGTAAGTTTTCAATTTAATGGTTTATTCCTTCAATTTTTGTTGGTTATTAAATCCTTGTATATAATGGAAGCTTAAGGAAGGTTTAAATGGGATTAAAACAATGAGATAAGGGAAACAAATGAGATTTTAGAAAATGAGTTTTATTATGATATGTTAGTATATTGGTATTTATAGATGATTATTAGTAGTTTTGACTTGTCAAAGAGGTAAATGAAAGATTAAAAGCATTGGATAAGCGTAAAAACAAGTTAGAAATTTTGGTGTGATTCTTAGAATCAAATGTTATTGAGGAATATTAGATGTTTTAAGTGTCTAAATGAAGGATAGTTAGTATGGTTAAGTAGAGAAGAGTTACATAGTATTGTTAGATGTAAATGAGAGGAAAATTAGCCAAAATTAGGTATGTATCGGGTTAAAAACTGGAAAATCTGGGAATGGGTATCAGTTCTGATAGAGTAGTACCGATACTATAGGCAAAAATTAGGCTGAATTAGATGAGAAGTATCGATACTGAATGAGGTAGTATCGATACCGAACGAGGTAGTATCGATACCGAACGAGGTAGTATCGATACCATGGTAAGGGTATCGATACCAGGTAACATCGAACCTGATTTTAGTATCGACACCATATAGGGTATCGATACCATATTATAGTAGTATTGATACCATGGTATGGGAATCGATATTGAGCCACATCGAATCTAATTTTGGTATTGATAATGGAAGGGGGTATCGGTACCATAGTAGGGTAGTATCAATACTATTATGGGAGTATCGATACTGAGGAACCATAAATTTTAAGTTATGCTGATATTATTGTAAAAAGGTTAATAATAAGTACTTTTGATTAATGTTTAAGTTATGATTATTAGGAAATACACTAAAAATTGATATTATACATGTATTTAATGAATATGGGATAGATCAAAATCAAGTTCCCGAGTTAAGTAAGGCAAGGGTCAAGTTCCGAAGTAATCATCTTCCCAGTTTAGATATATAAGCAAGGCAAACCAGGTGAGTGCCTTTAATTATGTACGTATATGCTATAATAGTCATAATGGTATGAAATATTGATGTATGTATGGTGATTACCAGAAGGGCACTTCGTGTGCTAACATGAGAAGGAATTCATACTAAGTGTATGAATTTCCATATAGGGCTCTTCGTGTGCTAGCATGAGAAGGAATTCATACTAAGTGTATGAATTTCCATATAGGGCACCTCGTGTGCTAACATGAGAAGGAATTCATACTAAGTGTATGAATTTCCATATAGGGCACTTCGTGTGCTAACATGAGAAGGAATTCATACTAAGTGTATGAATTACCATATAGGGCACTTCGTGTGCTAACATGAGAAGGAATTCATACAAGTGTATGAATTTCCATATAGGGAACTTCGTGTGTTGACATGAGAAGGAATTCATACTAAGTGTATGAATTCCCATATAGAGCACTTCGTGTGCTAACATGAGAAGGAATTCATACTAGTGTATGAATTTCCATATAGGGCACTTCGTTTGCTAACATGAGAAGAAATTCATATTAAGCGTATGAATTTCCGTATAGGGCGCTTCGTGTGCTAAAATGATAAGAAATTCATATTAAGTGTAGGAATTTCTGTATAGGGCGCTTCGTGTTCTAAAATGATAAGAAATTCATACTAAGTGTTTGAATTTTCGTATTGGGTACCTTGTGTGCCAAAATGATAAGAAATTCATACTAAGTGTATGAATTTCCATATGGGAATTAATTTTTGTTTAGAACTTTACATGTGATTAATTATGCCTCACTAAGTAATGCTTAACGTGTGTTTATTTCACGCGTAGGTGGAATACTAGCTGAGTAAGGAAATCGTCAGACATCAAGTTAGAGTCACCTCATCAGTAACAATATGACATACTTGTCTACTTTTGATATATTTTGGTTGGCATGTAATAGGTTTAGTAAAAACGCTTTGAAAAATTGAATTAAACTAATTTATAACGGTGAAATGTAAATCATTTGTTTTTATTGTATATGCAAGTTTAATGCATGTTTTCGTTATAAGTACATTATAATAGTTTATAAAATGAAACAAAATTGTACGGATTTTCAAATGGGAAACTGGTTTAAAAGTGATGTGACATCTGTATCTCATATATATAACGGTATACGGGAGATGGGTGTTACACGACAGAAAGGTAAAACCCGATACCTTTCATTTTAGATCTACGTCGGTGGGGGCAGTTTTAGGTTATTTTCGCTTCGGCTTTAGGTTTACGGGCTCCAGGGGAATCTTTTGGGGGTAGTTTAGTTTTTCCGGCCACTAGCGGCGATGACAGGAGCGACGAAGCAATGACGGATGGCCACCGGGCGGTGGTCGATCATCGGGGTCGGTTGAGGAGAAGGGGAGAGCATTTTTAGGAAAGAAAAATTGTTTTTTGGAGTTATGAGATGAAAATGATTTTTTTGTTATTTTGGGGTATTTATAAGGGGGCTTGGGTGTAAATAAAAAATACTTTAATTATTTCCGCAGTACCCTTAGTTTAAAGTGTAATTAATCTTAGTTACTTGTTATAAATTTACCTTTAAATTTCAAATTTGTTCAATTTAGTCCCCGTTTTAATTTCCTATATTTTACAAATTGACCCCTCTTAACTTTGATTCTTTCTTGTAGCTCTCGAATAATGCCAATTTGACCCCTAATTTTAAATTTTTTACAGTTAAATTTTAATTTTAAATTGTTCTTTATTATTTAATTTTGTTTTGCTTTAATATTTAACACGGATTTGATGTTTTAGGTCAATTTTAATCGATCAAGGGTAAGTAATTTGAATCGAATATTTAAATTTATGTTTAACTTTTAATTCTCGCAATTAAGACAACCAGAAAATTAAACTGGTACCAAAAGGACAGTATAAGGGTAATAATCCTTCCTTGACTGTAACTGACTCCTGAATCCGACATTTTTCTGGTAAAAAATAGATCATGTAAGATGCTAATTTAAGGTGTCCGGTCAACCTAATTTTTTTTATAAAAATGATCGGTGGCGGCTCTAAAATGTTTTATTTAAGTCGAAGCCTAATTTCGGACCCACCTGAATGACGGTTACGACACTTATAAAACATAAAATTTGATCTTTTTCTTTAGCCTTTCAACTCAACAAGAAAATCTTATAAATTTAATCTATATTTTCAAATATCTTGTTATTCTTCTTATTTTATTTTCTTTATTTTACAACACCTTATCACAATGAATTTGCTCCCAAATAAAAATATCAGGTCGATTTTAATGATAAACAAGATTAAAAAAAATCTACAAATGTATCATTTCATTAGATCAGATTTTAAACCATATCAATATATCACAATATCAATAAGTCTATTCCATACTACTATTTGATCATTTGTTAATGCATTTTATTTCTTCACACAAATATCGACTGTCTATTTATTTTTATTCGATTATTGGTTGGGGTTTGATTGAATATGATATATGACATTCCAGTCTTTAATTATATTATAATAGTTAATGATGATGTATTAAAATAAAATTTAATAGTAAAAAACTAATTAAATTAAGAGAGGGTATGAAGCAAAGACTCAATCATACTCGCGAATCAATGTAATTGGAATGAACAAATTATTGATATGTGACCTATGAATACTTATGTATATGTGTAATAAGATAATTTATTATCATACGCAATTACACATATACACAAGTGTTTATAAATTATACGCAATCAAGTAAAAAATTAATAGTTTTACTAATATATCGAATCATTAATGTTATTGGAATTAATGACTTAATGATTAAAATTTAACAAATTGATAAAAAAAAGTAACTTCTTCAAATTCAAGGATCAAAACTGAAACAAAATTGAAACAAAGGAAACCAAACTTGTCGTTTACCCAATTTAAAATGGATAAAAGAGAGGAGGGTTGGGCGTTTAGAGGTTGCTTTCACCTGGAACGATATTGAATCCTCTTCGAAGCCGCTTTCTGCTTCCGTCTTTTCATTTTCCGCATATATAACACGAAAGAAAATTCTTTTCTTTGTAAAGAGAAGCTTCTAGAGGGGGGAATAAGGAAAACGAAGAGATCATCGGTTTACGCTTTACGGTGAACAGAAGGAAAGAAAGAGAATGGTTTCGAATTCGGCATTGAGCGCAGCAGCCAAACAAGCCGAGCAATTGAGGAAAGATGGCAACATTTATTTTAAGAAAGATCGTTTTGCGGCTGCCATCGATGCTTATACTGAGGTTTAAAACCTTTTCCTTCTTTTATTTGTAATATAATTTTCTTGAATTTCTGTTGTCTTTATTAAATGGTGTATTTTTCTGGGTTTAAAGGCGATTACTTTATGCCCTAATGTTCCTGTATATTGGACGAATCGCGCTCTTTGCCATCGCAAGAGGAAGTATGTATTCAATCCTTTTATAAGTAATTATATATATATATATATAACTGCTTTTTCTAGGGAAAATTAGGTTTTTGAAATGTTTCTCTTTTCTTAGTTTCATTTGAATATTGGTATCACGCAGTGATTGGTCGAGATTGGAAGAGGATTGCCGGCGAGCTATTCAGCTTGACCACAGTTCCTTCAAGGTAATCTCCTTTCATTTCTTGTTCCCTTATGGTGATTCTTGGAATATGATGCGCGTCTAGTTATCATGAAATTTCACGCACCCATGACCCATCCATGTCTTGAAATTTGACTTCTTTGTTGCCTTGGGGCCGTTGTTGTTTTTTGTCGAAATCATGTTTTAGTGGAACAATATGCATATGTATCAGGCTAGTATTAAGGTGATTGAAGCTTCATGCCAGCCTGATATTGAGTTATAATTCATTCTCTAATTATTTTGTAAGGATTTAAGAGAATGAGTAAAGTTTAATTATTTACTACACTTTCAAGCAGCAATTTTAAATCCGAATACAGCTGGGGATCGGGATGGGTTGAAACAAAATTAAGGACGCTGCAGTATGTTAGTCTTACGTTATAAGCCAATCCTAAGCTGTTTTGGAACTCTTCAGATTATCAATTGTCTTTGGTTGTTTAACTTAATATCCAATGCAGAATCTAAATGGAGATATTTTTTTCTAGCATTTTTCTTCTTTTCCAAGGTGACAGTGATATTTGATTTAGCAATGTGGGGCATCATTCATTAGTGGCTTGAAGGAAATTGTCAACTAGGATAAAATTTTTCATTTTATTACATAAATGTTCACATGTAACCTCTTTTGTTCAAACTTGCTAAACTTTTTGCTGATGGTTTTAACTTCGTAGAATCGTAGTTATGTTCATTTTCATGTGTTCCTTGCTTGGTAACATAAAACTGTGGTTTGGCGTAGTTTATGCTTTATGTGTACGGTGTACCTTATCTTTTACTATTGCTACTGTCTGAGGACACTTACATCTGGTTACTTGATAGGCACACTACATGTTGGGACTTGCCTTTCTTAAGAAGAAAGAATTAGATGAAGGTGTCAAGGAACTACAAAAGGTATAGATGCCATGATGAATCTCTGTTTATATAGAATCAGGAATGATATCCATGAAACGCTTTAATTTGTTAGGTTGCATTTTGGATTTTTTTTATCTCTTTTACTTGAGATTTTTGAAGTCAATACATGCAACTCTTTTTTGTGGCTTGTTCACCCTCTCATATAATGTGCATGTATGTCCATGTTATTATTTTCTCTTACAGTGCATGGAAATTGCTGGATCTTTATCTTCAGTGTAGTGTTTATGCATCTTCATGTTTTGTTTCTTCTTTTTCTGTGGTGCTTATAATGGATATAGGAACTCCAAGTCATGTGAGAAATAGAAGTTTTTGTTTAACTTTTGTCTGCTATGATGGCTTTATTTGGTATAGTTTATCATATAAACTTGGATCCTTGACGAAAAGATATGAGATTTGGTTGGGAAAGGGGGTGTTGATGAGCAAGAAAAATATAACTAAAAGTATATTTTAATTTGGGATGAATCTGAGAGTTTTCCTTTTTGTACCATTCTTTTTTGCACAGGAAACATTGTCTTGCCAGATATTTTGCAGATTCTTTATTAGCTTTTGCATTTGTCAAGCTTGGTCTTTTCTATGTCACTGAGCTTGGAAGTTGTGTGGATGAATTTGAGGTCTACTATGTCAACCATAGTTGGATCTATGTTATGAGTGTGGAAAATAGTTCTAGTATTAGTTCATATTTTGCTTTCAATGCAGTCAGTTTTGTGAATAGTATAATGACCAGGTCTTATTAGCCTGCGCTATTAGTTTTTGCTGATGCATGGATGTTGGTTTAGGAGAGGATGAATACTATCAGTAGACTCAACTATTGAGGATTTAAGCAGTTGCTTCATAATGCATGGCTTGGTTGTTGTGGGATTTATTTTTGTCAATTTTGATGATTTTCCTATAAAGTTTAAGCTAATGAACCATGCATTGGCATCTGATGTATGGTTTTCCTTTGTGTTTCTAATATTTTAGGGTTATGAACTATAATGTTTGATGCTGAATGTGGAAGTTTTTAATAATTTTTTTTTTCGGAATCCGTACTGTGGACCTGCAGTTTTTATGCCTTACATACGAAAAATTATATAAATGAACTTAATTGAGTGTAACATTTGTTTATACAAGCATCATATTCACTTAAAAACTAATTTGCTTGTGTAGGCATTGGATCTTGGAAGGGGTGCAAATCCAAAGGGTTATATGGTAGATGAGATTTGGCAGGAGCTTGCAAAAGCGAAATACTTGCTGTGGGAGCATGCATCTTCCAAGCGTTCATGGGAATTGCAAAGTTTGATGTATGTCATCCTTGTGAGTTTAGACATTTGATTCGAGGGGAATGATTACCTCTGTTCAAGTTTTTGATGGAGAGTTGTTCATAATTTTTTTTCTTTTTGCTTCATGCTGTTTTTTCCTATGTTTTGCAGGGAGGCTTGTGAAACTGCTCTTAGAGAAAAATATTTCCTTGATGATCAACCAGAAGGTTTCTTAGACGAGGCTGGTGTTTCTCATATAAAACAATTGGATGCTCTGAGACGTGTGTTTAGGAAAGTTGGTGAAGCTGACATCCCTGGGGAGGTAAGAATGTGGTTTTCTTATCACTCTATGCATATTGTTTTTGTTTTCAATTATACATGCTATTTTGCATTCTGTTGGAGATATGATGGAAAATTTCAGGTGCCGGATCACTTGTGTTGTAAAATCACATTTGATATTTTCCGTGATCCTGTTATTACTCCGAGTGGAGTTACGTATGAGAGAGCAGTGATCCTTGAGCATCTTCAGAAGGTGACTTGCTTTGGAATTATGGGCTGTTGTTTGAATTATCTTCTGTCATTATTTTCACGCTAAAAATTAATGGTTTTCCTGATGGATACCAGGTTGGTAAATTTGATCCAATCACACGTGAACCGCTCGATCAATCCCAGCTTTTTCCGAACTTGGCAATAAAGGAAGCAGTCCAAGCATATTTAGATAAGCACGGTTGGGCTTACAAAATGGACTAAACGGTGGAATATTGTTGTAGTTTTGCTGGACATGCCAATGATTTAGCTGCAGAGTGAAATATTCCGAAGTAATAGGTTAGTCTGCATTATCTGTGTTTGGTATAAATCATTGATTTTTGGTTTAAGCTATTATTACGTAGGCTTGAGTGTGTAAAATGCCATGGCATGCCATCCGTTGAAATTGTACAGTTATTGTCATAACAATTAACCTTGTACATATTTGTCAAAACTAATTCATCCAAGGGTTCCATGTAACTAGAAAGAAATATTCTATTTTTACATAAAACTTGATTCTTCGTAGTTTATAAATGATTATTGAACTGGCTTTAGTATAGACTAATATCTGGTTCAGAGGTCAATTTATTTTTAAACATGATGAGTTGCATGAGACTGCATATATGTTTTATCAATTGATTTGGTGTAGGAAGAAGATATAGTTTGTCCATATCAAATTACTAGTTTGAGCTACTATAGGATCAAGTACATGGGGGCTTTTCTCTAATATGTTAAACAAGCCCTTAAAGTATCATACTTTATTTAAATAAACTCTTATACTTTACTTTTAGTTAAATAAGTCCCTAATTACTCATACGAGTCCTCAATTATGATTTGTATTTTGATCTCCAAAGATTTAATATAATTTCTAGTATTTATTGACACTCTTTTAATCTATCAAATTAAAAGAAAGACACAAAAATCAAATCCAAATATTGATTTGTATTTGTATTTGGTTTACTGTGGTGAACATATGCATTCATAGCACATCACTCCTATTTTAGCTTGTGTAAACTCAATTAACATTTTGATTTATACTTGGTCATATTTTGAACTTAGATATAAACATTTTTATACTCTAGTGTTTCTATACATTATGGATGGTTTTAAAAGTAATTTGATATATTTGTTTTGTTTTAATTTTATTAATCGCCTCAATGATCTAATATAATATCTTGGACCCATCAAATATTTTAAATCAAGTTTAGGATATTGCAGAATTAACAATCCCTTTGACATTGTTATTTGATTTTTTATTGATTATTTGTTTTTGTTAAGGGAAGTGAAGTGGACATAATCATTTTCGAAGCCTCCAGCCGTCCGAGTTCGCCTCCGCCACTCAACCCAGCGCAGTGCCTAAACGTGACCTAATCCCGTCTTCTCTTGTGTCGAGCAGTGGTGTACAGCTGAGTATTCACCATGGAACCCCATCCAACGTCTCAACCCAGCCAACTTCGAGGGTTTGACTCAGCTGGTGCGGTGGCTGCTTCCTCCGTGAGGCCTCCTATTGTTCCTCCTTCATCGTCTAGGAGTTCTCATCTCCCGCTTGAACCAGACTGCCGTGTTGCAGTTGGTGATATCCCCCTGGAGTCTGCCAAGGAATTAGAAGCGAAAGTGAAGGCTCTTAAAGCATTAGTGGCAGAGTTGAATAAGCGGGTTAACGATTTAAAAATGAAGGAAAATGCAGTTCCACGAGGCAGTCTTCTCAAGAAATCTGGATCCGCTGGTGCAGCCTCTTCATCTTACTCCGTAAGGACAATCGTAAAATTGAGAATGAAAAGGAGAGGACAAGGTTACGGAAACCGCAAAGAAGAGTTTTTACCAGACGCTTGTTGGCCGGATTGAGACAGTTTGGTAACTTCTCTATTCCACCGAATGCTGCTAAGAACGATGTTTGGCAGCCTTGGCACGTGAGGCGGGTTGGATAGTTGAGTCCGACGGCACCACTTACAGACACTCTCCTTCAACCCAAAATCAACAAAATTCGGGATCATTTTCGGCGAGGTCGGGTGAAAATCCACTATCATCCAGTCCTTTGAAGAAATGCTCACAAGAAGGGAAACATAGGAACGGAAAGCTGTCTTTTGTTCATGCAACACCAACGCTTCCAGTCGCTAATGTTGATCATGGTGGAGCCAAGGAGATCTATTCGAAAGGGTATTCCGATGCAAATTTTCCGAAGTGGTGGGAAGAAGAAGAAATGGGTTTTATAATCGGTCGAAAGAAGGCCAACCAGATTTTCGCAATGGGTCCATAAAGGATTGTTACACGATTTTTATCGAAAACCTTCCAGAGAAGATCCATTGGAAGAAACTTGGATCCATATTTGGCTCACATGGTCAAGTTATTGATGCCTTCATTCCCAAAAAAAGAAACTCGAATGGGTTCGTTTTGGGTTTATTCGCTTTGCTACAATTGAAGAAGCAAGGACATCGATTTCTAAGATGAATGGTTATCATATTTACGGCAACAAAATTAGAGTCTCTTTGGCTAAACATAAACCCCGACAGTCTTACTGGCGAAAGTCCTCGAAAGTTGTTCATAGTAAGTCGGGGCTGGAAGTTTTTCCGACAATTAACACTGTGAAGTTGAGGGTGTTGTGGACGCAGATAAACTTCATGTGTTGTCTAACTGTCTTGTGGGGTGGTGCAAGAACTTTATCAAGATTGGTAATCTTGCTAACCAAATACAAGCCAAAGGACTAGCGGGTTTCACGCTTATGAGAGCTGCTGGAAATGTAGTTCTAATGGTTTTTGAAGATTCTAATTCGTTGAGATGCGTGAAGGATGAAAGTTAGAAACTCTTGCAGAATGGTTTTCCAGAGTGGAAACTTGGTCTGAGAGCCTTGTGGTGGAGAGCCGGCGCGTTGGCTAGTTTGCGAAGGTATTCCTTTTCACGCTTGGAATTGGGATACTTTCAAAAACATAGCTACTAAGTGGGGCAAGTTAATAGCAATCGATAACAGTTGTGAGTTCCCTTCGTCTTTTGATCGGGCTAAAATCCAAATACTCACAAACGCTCAAGTGAGAATTAATGAGTTGTTGGAGTTGAAGGGGGGATCATTTATTCAAATCTTGGTGCATGAAGTTGATCCTTCCTTCAAACCTAATTCTTGGGTTCCTGAAGATTGCGATATTTCTTTAGATCTTGATCCTCCAATTGGGTTGTGATTGTTCGGCTGCTGTATTCAGAGGCGTTTTTAAGTTTGTGGTTGTAATTGTTGGTTTTTTGTTGTTGTTATGTTATCTTACATCTTGAGGTGATTTAGGGGCTTTTTGGTTGACGATGTAAGATTTCTAGGTGATATGGGTTGTATTGGTGTTTATTCCCGTATGTGGGTTTGGTGTTACCTCATGTACTTAGTATTATATTTAATAAAATATGAGGCACTCTTTTCTCCCTTCCTTGTTCTTCAACATACTTCTAAGTATGTGGAAGAATACGAAGGGAGTTTTTAATGAGACCTCCAACTTCTATCAAAAAAAAAATTTATTAATAGAAGTATCCAAAGAAATTATTTATTAGTATTTTATATCATTATAAGATTATATGAGGCTATTTTTTTAATAAATATTATGCCAAAATTTGATAAATTAGAAAGTTTAAGAGTTTATCAACAATAACAATTCATATTTAGTGATGGGGTGGACGGCGATAGGAGATTTTGTTTGGATCTTGGGCGGAGAATTTTTTCAAGTTTTTTTTTCTTTAAAGAAAATGAAAATGAATGAAATAAAATTTAGGGTTATATTGATATTGTGTTTAAAATTCAGATTTCAAATTAAAATCTATATCTTTCGACTAATATGTCGCGTTACTAAAATAAAAAAAAATTAATTATTAAATCGTAAATTATAATAAATTGATAATATAAATTATTAAAATATATTTTTTAAGTTTAATAATTAAAATAAGATAGAATGAAAATTGAAATGGACTTAAAAATAATTTATATAAATAATTATATATTGCCCATTCGGATCCATTAATACTTACAATAGACCACCAATCTTCAATATGACTTCGTGAAGACTATAATTTCCTTCATCAATTTCATTAAATATGATGTATATCATATCTGAAATATGTTATCACGCCATTATTATACCCGAGCAGTCTTATATTTACGTAAGCTAATCATGTACAGCGTAAAATACACAAATGATCTTTCGATTTTAAGATATTATTATTATTAAAAGTTATAAATTCATTTTTTGATTATAGGTCGTTGTTTTGTTAAGGTCTCTAATTATTAAAAATCAAAAAATTGTTACATTCATATATTTCAAACTTTTCTTTTTTTTATATTAAAACTCGTAATTTATTAATTGAAATCATTTTTATTTAATTATAAAAACATTTAAATATTTATATAAAATAAACATTAAATTCGAACAAATAAATTGGACTGCAATGGCAGCTTGTAGTGGCAGTCAGTGGCGAATGCGATGAGGTAGACATTCTACCAACTCTGTTTAATACCAAGAGTAAATTACTACACGAATTTTAGACACCAGAAGGCTTCGGAGATATTGAAATGGAAATGCTTAATCTTAAAGCTTATTCGTATTAAATATTTATTTAGACCACTGGCCCTTTCCATCAATATACAACAAAAAAGGTGCTTAAATTTTTCATCTACCATTTTTCAGAACCTAAGACGAAACATTTAATACTTTGATATCTTGCACTATCAGTAAATATGAATATCTATAATTTTTAACTTTTTTATATAGTTTCAAAATCAGATACATCCTGTAGAATTTTAGACTATAAATAAAAAATACACAAGCTTTTGGGAGAATAACTTCTTATTCGATTTAAGATCAGGCTTGACTATTTATAAGCCTTTACAAACAACTGAAAGATAAATATGTAGCCACGTTTTCAGATCCTACAAACGTGGTAACAAACGTGGTAAGTGGTTGGAAGATTAAATCAAATCAAGCTAATGACCCTATCAAATAGTGATTATTAACAAACCAGTAAAACAACTAAAAGCCTAACTTCAACACTCTCCCTTAAACTGATTGCATTTTGCATTCAGTTTACAGTAGGAACACTAGAGACTCCAAGCAAATTTCGCAGCTTTAAGAAGACATCGAGCTTGAGAGGTTTGGTCATGATATCTGCCACTTGCTCTTGTGAACTGCAGTACACCAGCTTCACCATTCCATCCTTTGAGAGATCACAAAGGAAGTGAAATCGAACATCAATGTGTTTACTCCTCCCATGCATCACTAGATTTTTGGAGAGATTAATCGTCGAGCTATTGTCACAGAATAATGTTGTGCACTTGTTTTGAACCTGCCCCAATTTTTCTAGTACTCTTTTCATCCAAATACTTTGACATGCACAACTAGCTGCTGCTATGAACTCAGTTCAGTTGTTGAAAGGGTGACAACTGGTTGTTTCTTTGAGGACCACGCCACAGCACCAGAGCTAAGCTTAAAGACATACCCTGATGAACTTTTCCTGTCGTC